GGAAAATGAAATACCCCCACTTATTAAAGGTTGGGTTAGGAAGTGCTTTGTTTAAAGAGACAAAATTAAAGATGAAGTCACAAGAGATCCATCAATTTTCCATAATTACCTAAAGGACCATGTATCCATGAATTATCAGATTCGTGGAACCCATCCCAACTCTGGTATCAAATGCATGACATGAATGGATAGGTTCACAGTACATTCCATATCTGATCCAGCTGCCTTATGATCAACGTATTGAGATGAATTTTCATAGAATTCGATGCTGCAATCACTGGCTTTATTTCTTGGCTCTTCTGCACAAGTATTATAAACTATCTCCACATTAGTATCATCCTTTTCTACACTGTTATCGGGATCGAAATTGATGCCTCGTTTACATGATATGAATGGGTCTACATTGTTGTATGCAGACAGCAGGCCAATAAACTTACGAATATAGGATACAAATAATAATGAACTTAGCATGTATACGAATGCATATATAAATATTTTCTACTGGAAAATAAATACTTAGCTCGTAGAAACTTGGACATAATTGTGATGCTTGGGTGTAACCTGCTATCACATTAACAACGAGCTGCTGCACAGTTGCTCTACCCCCACCGGAGATCCCACCGGCAGGCTGAGCAACGTCATTAGAAGTGGGGACCACCGATCGTAACTCCGGTAGGCCCCGCAGATCACCCACGCACGCTGTACCCGGCAAATCGCCGATGAACGGAACAAGGGTTCCGGCAGCGGTCTGTCGAACAGGACCAGACCCAGCTGAATTTATAGCCACCAGCGAGCCGAGGCCAACGCGACCACCTGCTTGTGCCGTGCAAGCATCATCATCAACAAGCCTCGCCAAACTTCATCCTCATCACTTTATTCTTATCATTATCTTCAACTCCCATATTCATTTTTTTCAAAAGAGGATTGCCGCTATAGATGGGGAGAAAGAAGGAACAAGAAAGGACGGCTGAGGAATCGACTCAGAAAAAAATTGCGATGCCTGGACAACATGATTAGGCAGGTGAGTCTCCGTCCCATCCGCCATTGACGAAGCTTCGGGGGGAATCGCGGGATTCGCCAACGTCCACAGATCGTGTGCTTGACGGTTGCGGCGGCGATCCGAAGGTCTGATCATGGGACTGATGAAATGGTTGGGATCTCCGGCGTACCGCTTCGACGATCGGCGTCGCACAGGCACCGACCCAAACCTCCTACTCTGATGCTCTAACGGTGGGAGTGAGCGTGACAGCTACGATCGACGAACTGCTTTGCCGACGAAGATAGCGATGATTTGTGAAGTGTCTCCACCGCGTCAAGGCTCTGTATTTTTTACGGCAATCGATCTGGGACCTACGGATGAATAGGCTGATCGCCGATGATTTGTGAAGGGCCTGATCACCGGCTGGATCGAGGAACTGGTTGACTCCGTCTCTCGCCGGAGTACACTGATATACCTCCGCCACTGCTGGATTTTCATCTCAACAAATGCGCAACGATCCCGATCTAACTCCGATTCGATCATTCGATCATTCGTCATCGAGAGCAAAGTGCTGATAACGTGTTAAACAAAAAAAAAAAAACAGAGAGTGGAGAGGGAAAGGTCAGGATCTCTTTCATTCATCTACCCATACATAATCCAATGGTACACAATAAAAAGGAATGATAAATGGTCTACATAATGATCATTAAATATGTCCGTTACAAATATTGTCCACCATCAATATTATTTATAACAACAATGTCTTTTAATAACTTAGAAATTCAAAATAATTGGTAATAATAATAAAATCAAGTAATGATCTGAAATGGTATTTTCAACTAATTAAGGCGAAAAATTTATATACAACAATAATTTATCGATGAGTCTATAATTTAAACTAGTATTTGTCCCGTGCGATGCACGGAAAATATGTTATAAAAATATACATTATATGAGGTTTATTCATATATAAAATTTTTGTTATTTAATAATTATTATGTGTGAATTCCTATGATAAAATTATGAACATAAATATATTTACAATTAAAATAATATTTAAGGTGGGTAATTACTACAAATCTTAAACTATATTAAAAATTTAGTACATAGTATTTAATATTATAAATTTTTAAGAACTTAGTAAACTACAATAGTAATTGAATTACAATTTTAGAGTCACCACGGATCAAAATTTTTAGACCTTTGAGATTTCCAACTCTAGATGTAGCAACATACAATTGACCTTTAAAGACCAAAATCACAATCTTAGTTAGAACATTGATTTTTTTCTTCCAAATACTATCGAATTAAGTGTGTAATCAATAAAAGATGAGAACTAATAATTCGAGAATATAATCTTAATGTTACTAAGCCTACTTCACGTCAATTAAGTTGGAGAGTGTTGTTGGATAGTATCCGATGAATCCACGAATAACGCATCTTTGTCTCCGTAGTCCTCAATATGCACATCAACAATCTTAAATATTAAGCCACATAGCTATGCTATATATTAATTTCAAACTTATGGACTTTAAGGTTGCATGCATGCTTCTTAAAGTCATATGGCTTTAAGATGTGAAAATTAAATGTTGCATTTAATTTTCACATCTTAAAGTAATTTTCACATTTTAAAACTCATTTAATTTTCAAAAGACTTTCACATCTTAAAGTCATATGGTCTTGTGAAAATTAAATGCAACATTCAATTTTCACAAGACCATATAGCTTTATTATATATAGCATGGGATATAATATTACCATTTTTCCTATTATAATATTATTATATTATATTATATTAAAGACGACGATAAAAATATAATTAGTTTTTTCTTTTCCCAATAGAATTAGTCTTTTGTTGACCGCATAACCGACATGTCTGTACCGCGTGATTGTCACGTTTGCTTCATCTGAAAGGCCTCTCAGACCTATAAATACCCCTGCCTTTAAACTGTTTTCTTCGATCGCGTTCTAAGCTGAATATCTGATTCGCAATGTCTCAAGCCTCTCTCTTATTTTAGAACTAGAAGGTTTGGGATAGCTATTTCAGATTCAGAGTCATGGATTGGTTTGATTAATTAGTGTTTAGTTATCCTATGCTTGATTTGCTGGAAATTGGGTTTCTGTGTTTATCGGATGCCAAACATGTATATTTCCAATTACTCATGTTCGTCTGTATGCCTTTCATGTTGATGTAGCTCAGATCGTGGATTTGATGTCAAGTAACAGGGATTCGGATTTGTTCTAGTTGAACGAAATAGATCGGTTTGCTCGATACGCGTGCAGTTATCCTATGCTTGATTTTCTGGAAATTTAGCGTTTATATTGATTGGTTGCTTAAGATGTCTGTTTTTGATTAGTTATTGTTGGTAATGTCTGTCATGACTTTATGTGATTCGGATTGTGCATTCGATTTCTGCGGCGAGCTTTCGGATTTCTTTTGGTTGAGAGGCATGGATCCGTTTGACAATACGTGTTTGGTTAACCTATGCTTGATTTTCTGTAAATTTTGGTTTCTGTCTTGATTGGTTGCCAAAGATGTCTATTTCCAGTTACTCATGTTCGTCTTATGTCTTGTTATGTTGATGTAGCTCAGATCGTGGATTTGATCTCAAGTGAAAGATTTTGGACTTGTTCAAGTTTAACTAATATATTGGTTTGATTTGTACGCCTTCAGTTATCCTATGCTTGGTTTTCTGGAACTTCTCATATATATATTGATCAGTTGCTAAACATATGATTTGGATTATTTATTGTTCATATGTCTTTCATGACTCGGTTTAGTTTGGATTGTGGATTTGATCTCAGCACCAAGCTTTTGGATTTCTTTGGGTTGAACATGGAGTTGGTTTGATTAATTTGTATTTGGTTACCCTGTGCTTGATTTTCTAGATATTTTGGTTCGTCTTGATGAGGTGCAAAGATTTCTCCTATCATCTTTGTTCGTCTATATGTCTTGTCTATTTGATGTAGCTCAGATTTTGGATTGGATGCGTACTGCAAGGTTTTGGATTCATTCGGGCTGAAATTGGTTTGATCAATGCTCTTTTCAGGTATCCTTTGCTTGATTTTCTTGAAAATTTCTGTTTAATTTTACTCCGTTTGCACATTCTTATTCTCTATTGGTCTGTCATCAATTGAAGTTATTGTTTGTTAATCATGGATTATGTTTGTAAATCTTTTCTTGTTGATTTATATTAGATTCTGGATTTGATACCATCTGCAATGAAACAGAATGGTTTGATCAATACACACTCAGTTATCCTAGGCTTGTTGCACAATGGATTGCAGCAGGGTTCATTGATCTATTTGGTTTGGAAGTGTTTTGTCAAACTTCATATCTGATTTTTCAATGCTCTCATTCTCATGATTCTTCCCAACTTTGATGAATTTTATAATATTGTGGCTCATAGGTTAGCAAGAGTTCTAACACGAAATAGATCTGTTTGATTGATACCATACAGTTATCCTATGCTTGATTTTCTTGAAAGTTTATGTTTATATTGAATGATCTATTGCAGTGTTGCTTAAGATTTCAGTCGGTATTATTTATTGTTCGTATGTTGGTCATGACTTGATCTAATTTGGGTCGTGGATTCAATTTCAGCTGCTGCTTTTGGATGTCTTTTGATTGAAAGATATGGATCAATTTGATAATAAGTGTTTGGTTATCTTATGCTTGGTTCTCTATAAATTTTGGTATGTGTCTTCATTGGTTACTGAAGATGTCTATTTCCAGTTACTTATGCTTGTCTGTATGTCTTGTCATGTTGATGTAGTTCAGATCGTGGAAATTGTATAAAGATCAAGGCTCTCGATATGCTCTAGTTGAGAAAATAGATCGGATTGATCATTACCCGTTAAGCTATCCTATTCTTGGTTTTGTGGAAATTTTGAGTTCAATTTTACCGGTGGTTTTCAATTTATCTTTCCGATTATGTATTGTTGGTTTTTCTGTCATGACTTGATGTAGTTTGGTTGGTTTGTTGACCGATTTCAGTAGCAAGTTTTCGTGTTGAACAACGTGGATTGGTTTGACAAGCTTGGTTCTATTCTTTCACTACTCATCAGACATCAGCAAGCTTGGTTGAACGATGTGGATCGGTTTGGCAAGCTTTCGGATTTCCCTTCACTAGTAGACACATTTAATACTCCTTATTTGATTAGACTTAATTTTGTGGGGAGTTCTATGTTGTTTTCGTTATTCTTTCTAGGTTTGATCCAATATTGGGGTTCATTAACCTAATGCTAAGAGGCTCCATGTAGAGCAGCAGCCTTGTGATGATCATTAGTGGTTTTATCAAGCTTGGTTTTATTCCCTCTAAAAGTTTTTGTCCATGAAATTTTTGGTTGTGATTTCCAAAATTTTCTCCACTCTTTACTATGTATTAATTTAGTAAAAATTGTTCTTCATAATTGCAGGTCTAGATGTATTTTGTTAGATGGGCCAGATCTGGACATCTTCCATTTGTGAAAATTTTGGTTTGGTTATGGTTTTATTATTATTATTATTATTATTATTATTATTATTATTATTATTATTATTATTATTATTATTATTATTATTATTATTATTATTATTATTTGTTTTGGGTTCTTTTCTGGTTTGATGTTCTTTTTAGGTGTAGTTCAACTTGGGTGGTGCACAATGGACCGTAGGTCTGCAGCAGGGGTCATTGACCTAAACTTTTCTGATTCTTCAATGCTCTCATTCTCATAATTCTTCCCAAAGTTGATGAATTTTGTAATATGTGGCTCACAGGTTAGCAAGAGGTCTAACGAATGAAATAGAGTGGTATGATTGATAAGATACAGTTATCCTATGCTTGATTTTCTTGAAATTTTCATTTATATTGATCGGTTGCTTAAGATTTCTGTTTCAGATTATTTATTGTTTGTATGTCTGTCATGACTTGATGTAGTTTCGATCGTGGATTCGAATTCAGCTGCTGCTTTTGGATGCCTTTTGGTTGAACGACATGGATCAAATTGATAATACTTGTTTGGTTATCTTATGCTCAGTTCTCTATAAATTTTGGTATATGTCTTGATCGGTTGCTGAGGATGTCTATTTCCAGTTACTTATGCTCGTCTGTATGTCTTGTCATGTTGATGTAGCTCATATCGTGGATTTGATATCAAGTTCAAGGCTCTGGATCTGTTCTAGTTGAGTGAATAGATCGGTTTGATCATTAAGCGTTCAATTATCTTATTCTTGGATTTCTGGAAATTGAGTTCATATTGATCGGTGGCTTTCAATTTCTCTTTCTGATTATGTATTGCTGGTTTGTCTGTCATGTCTTGATGTAATTTGGATCACAGATTTGGTTTCAGCTGCAAGCTTTCGTGTTGAACAACGTGGATTGGTTTGACAAGCTTGGTTTTATTCCTTCATCACTCATCAGCATGCTTGGTTGAATGATGTGTGGATCGGTTTGGCAAGCTTTCGGATTTCCCTTCATTAGTAGACACATTTAATTTCTCTTTCCGATTATGTATTGCCGGTTTGTCTGTCGTGTCTTGATGTAGTTTGGATCACAGATTTGGTTTCAGCTGCAAGCTTTTGTGTTGAACAACGTGGATTGGTTTGATAAGCTGGATTTTATTCCTTCACTCATCAGCATGCTTGGTTGAATGATGTGGATCGGTTTGGCAAGCTTACGGATTTCCCTTCACTAGTAAACACATTTAATATTTTATTAGATTTAATTTTGTGGGGAGTTCATTAATCCAATGCTAAGAGGTGCCATGTAGAGCCAGCCCTATGATGATCATTAGTGGTTCTATTCCTTCTAAAATTGTCCATGAAATTTTTGGTTGTGATTTCCAAAATTTTATCCACTCTTTTACTATGTATTAATTTAGCAAAATCACATTTCTATTTAATGTTCTGCATAATTGCAGGTCTAGATGTATTGTGTGGTCAGATCTGGACATCTTCCATTTGTGAAAATTTTGGTTTGGTTGTGTTTTAATTATTATTATTATTATTACTATTATTATTATTATTGTTATTATTATTATTATTATTATTATTATTACTATTACTATTATTATTATTTTGGGGGGTGCTTTTTCCCTTTCTCCTTCACTAGTTGATATATCATTGTTTGTTTACTCTTAATTTTTTGGGGTTTCTTTGCGCTTGATGTCTTTTCTAGGTTTAATCCAAGATTGTGTGGCTGATTAACCTAATTCCTAGAGGCAGCATATAGAGCCAGTCCCCATTCAGTCTTTGATGTCATTAGTGGCGTGCCTTGTTTATCCAAAGTTCAGTTTGATGCATCAATGCCCGGTTATCTCATTCATAAAAAAATCAGTTAAATATTTGTACCTTTGGCCATATTAATGCTCGTTTCTGGCTTGATGTTCTTTTGAGGTGTAGTTCAACTTGGGGGTTGCACAATGGACTGCAGCAGGGGGTCATTGACCTATTTGGTTTGGAAGTGTTTTGTCAAACTAATCTGGATTTTCAATGCTTCTCATAGTTCTTCTCAACTTTGATGAATTTTGTAATATTGTGGCTCACAGGTTAGCAAGAGGTCTAACGAACGTAATTGATTGGTTTGATTGCTACGATAAGTTATCCTATGCCCAATTTTCTTGAAAGTTTGCGTTTATATTGATCTGTTGCTTAAGATTTCTGTTTCCGATTATTTATCGTTGGTATGTCTGTCATGACTTGATGTAGTTCGGATCGTGGATTCAATTTCTCATGCTGATTTTGGATGTCGTTTGGTTGAGTGACATGTGGATCGATTTGATAATACGTGTTTGGTTATCTTATGTTTGGTTCTCTATAAATTTTGGTATATGTCTTGATCGGTTGCTGAAGATGCCCATTTCCAGTTACTTATGCTCTGTATGTATGTCTTGTAATGTTGATGTAGCTCAGATCGTGGATTTGGTATCAAGTTCAAGGCTCTGGATATGTTTTAGTTGTGCAAATAGATCGGTTTGATCATTACTTGTTCCGTTATCCTATTCTCAATTTTGAGTTTATATTTACCGATGTCTTTCAATTTCTCTTTCCAATTATGTATTGTTGCTTTGTCTGTCATGACTTGATGTAGTTCGGATCACGGGTTCGGTTTCAGCAGGTAGCTTTCAGATTGAACTATATGGATTGGCTTGACAAGCTTGGTCCTATTCCTTCATCACTCATCATCATGCTCTTTCCAGTTATGTATTGTTGTTTTGTCTGTCATGACTTGATGTAGTTCGGATCACGGGTTCGGTTTCAGCAGTTAGCTTTCAGATTGAACTATATGGATTGGCTTGACAAGCTTGGTCCTATTCCTTCATCACTCATCAGCAAGCTTGGTTGAACGATGTTCGGTTTCAACAGGTAGCTTTCAGATTGAACTATATGGATTGGCTTGACAAGCTTGGTCCTATTCCTTCATCACTCATCAGCATGCTCTTTCCAGTTATGTATTGTTGTTTTGTCTGTCATGACTTGATGTAGTTCGGATCACGGGTTCGGTTTCAGCAGGTAGCTTTCAGATTGAACTAATATGGATTGGCTTGACAAGCTTGGTCCTATTCCTTCATCACTCATCAGCAAGCTTGGTTGAACGATGTGGATCGGTTTGGGCGTTTGGCAAGCTTTTGGATTTCCCTTCCCTAGTAGACATTTAATATTTTAATAGACTTAATTTTGTGGGGGGTTCCTTGCTGTTTTGGTTATTCTTTTTAGGTTTGATCCAATATTGGGGTTCATTAACCAACGCTTAGAGGTTCCATCAGGCCAGTCGGTCCATGATGATCATAGTGCCTTATCAAGCTTGGTTTTATTCCTTCTAAAATTTTTTATCCATGAGTTTTTTTATTGTGATTTCCCAAATTTTCTCCACTCTTTTACTATATATATGATATATGATGATATATCATTTATTGAAATCGTATCTTCCCTTATATTTATTCTTCTGCATCTTTGCAGGTCTAGATGTATTGTGTTAGACGGGTCAGTTCTGGACATATTCCATTCATGAAAATTTTGGTTTGGTTGTGGTTAATTATTCCTGTTTCTGTGCTTTGCCCTTTCCCCTTCACTAGTAGACATTAGCATGTGTTTACTACTGTTTTGGGGTCTGTTTGCTCCTGATGTTTTTTCTAGGTTTATTCGAAGATATTGGTTGATTAACCTAATTCCTAGAGGTGGCATATAGTCGTATGATGATTCATTAGTGCCCTGCCTTATTTATCTAATGAGTTCAGTTTGATGCATCAATGACTGGTTATCTCTTATCAATAAAATAATCAGTTCATTTGTATTTAAATATTTTTTCTTTTACCATATTAATGCTCAGGTTCTTTTCTCTCTCTATGTTCTTTTGAGGTCTAGTTCAACTTGGGTGGTGCACAATTAATTGCCAGGAGTTATTGACCTGTTCGGTTTGGAAGTCTTTTGTCAAGTTTCTTTACTGATTTTTCAATGCTCTCATTCTCCCCAATTTTGATGAATTTTGTAATGTTGTGGCTCATAGGTTAGCAAGAGGTCTAACATAGGGATATGAGCTAGAGCCCAGAGGCTGCCACTGAGATCAGCCATGATAGTCTTCTAAGGATCATCATTACAACATTCTATCTGGAAAAATATTTATCCGATAAGTTTGGTTAATACTCTATTTATCTTTCATGCTTGCATTGTTGAATTTTTGGATGTTTTCAATTCCCTAAAATTTCTCCCTTTTTTTTTATGTGAACATTTTTCTTGTTTCCCCACCCCACTAATAGGCGTTTTTCTATAATTACATATGAATTTAATATTATATAGGATTCTCAGTTCTTTGCATGCTTCTAGGTTTGCTCTAGCTTGGAGTACATGATGGATGAGGGACTTCAAGAGTAAGGAAAATTTGAAGTATTAATTCTTGGTATTTATAGATGGTTCCCTGTTTCTATTGTGTGGTCTAGGGTATTGAGCAAGGAACTTCCAGTGAAGGGTAGGTTTGACATATCCCACTTCCAGGAATCTAACTACTTCCAAGTTTTGTGATTTGATTTTAATGCCATGTTATTGAGGTTTATGGCTGATAAACTCTAGTCTGGTTTGAGACATCCTTTGGTAGTGGCCTCCTGAAGGAACAATGGATGTTCTATTTGAGTTTGACTTACTTGGTGCTAGAGTCCAGTTGTTTATTTCTATGCATCCATCCTATTGAGAAAAAATTATTTCCTTAGATTACCTTTGTTTCTTTCTTTGTTGAGTCTCATGATTACTTTTGCCTCTTATATTGCCTGAAGGCATAATCCTTACACAGAGAAACTAACTATTGGAGTTAAATTGTGACTTTGATGATTAACACAACCTCTTGCCTGTATTGGAAGTATATTGTGCATGCTGAGTTTGGATTATTAAACATGAATCAGTCCTGGTATACTTCATGTGGTTTTTTCTTCTCCCAATACTTCGGGTAAATATTCTGGAGTTAGCAATGGATGCTCTTTGTGGCATCTGAATTCGTCATCTGAGTTGAAGGATACTTTCCTGTTACTGTGTTCTTTGACAATAGGGTTGTAATTTGAGCTGATGAACAACTTTTTCAGTTACAGTTTGTGAAAAACATGGAGATGTATCTTTATTTCTAGCATCTAAATTGGTTGATTGGATGTCCTTTCTTTTTAGCATCTGAATCCATGGAGGAGCTCTTTCCTGTAAGGCATTTATTTCCCTGTCTCTATTATGTGCTGTTGTTTGTTCACCAAGGAACTTCTAACGAAGAGTAGGTTTGACATAATCCCCCTTCCAGGAATCTAATCACATCGCACGCTAAGTATTGGGATTTTATTTTATTAACCAAAAGCAGTCCCGGTGCTAGTCCAATAATTAATTTTTACTATATTTGCATGTTATTGAGGTAAAATTTTCCTTAGATTGCCAACCCTTGTTTCATTGAGTCTCATGATTAATTTGCCACTTACAATGTCTGGAGACAATTCATATACAGAGTAACCGACTACTGGGTGTTTAATAGTTACTGATGATTAACGTGTGGTCTGAAGCTTGTTATTGGGAGCACGTATGTGCCTTTTCGCTCAATACTTGTGGTAGATATGCTGCTGGAGTTAGCAACAGAAATTCTTTCTTTCCAACCACTTGAGTATTCTTAATTGATCTGTGAGATTTGTCATTGCACTTTGGGAAAAAAATGCAGGATTTAGCAGTGGATACTCTGTGCAATTTGAGTTGATGGGGGAACCTTTCCTTTACTGCTGACAATGGATTGTAGTGTGTGCTGATTAAGTTCTTTACTTAGGAGTGGTTTTTTGTACAGCATGTTGGCACTTCTGTGGATTTTTTTCACTTGTTCTCTGCCCTCCTATTTGAAGACTGCTTTCTGGAGAAAAGTTTTGCCTTTGTGAAGACTGCTTTCCCTGATAATTTGAAGTACAAAGATAGCTTTAGTTAATTGATGATTGCCTGTCAACAAGCTTTAAGTTGTTTATGATTTCTCCTTGTGAAGATGCTCTTAAAGAGAGCTTGAAAAACTTCATTGATTTTTGAAAGAAACATCAAAGATATAGACCCTTTCATGTCTACTAGAAGTGGTTGTTCTTACCCTCCTACCTGGACTGCTTGTAGAGGATGATCTCTCTTTTGTGAAGGCTTCTTTTGCTGATCTTTGAAGTTCAAACGTAGCGCAACTTTAATGACATCTCCTTGTTAAGATGCTTTTCTGGTGTTCTAGAAAAATTCATTGATTTGGGGTAATGCACCAAGTAGTTAAATCTTCCTTACTGGAAAATATGTTTAGTCACTTTAAGGGGGTCATTGAATTGGGTGGTTCATGAAAGAGCCGTGTGATGATTGTCTCTGCTTCTGGTGCTAAGCTGCTCTTTTAAGCTTTTGTAGTTTTGCTCACATGATGAAATAAGATTATATAATTGTTTGCTCGTCAGTTATCACCATTTCGTTTGATATTTATATGAGAATTGGAAAATATTTCTGAACTTTCTATTTGTGAATATGTTTTTCATTTGTCTTGCACTCTGTTATTCTTTTGTCAAAAGCTGAAAATAGCAAAAAGATACCTGTTTATATTGGTTCATAATTTGAGTTATCTTGCAGATTTGCAAGTGAATATTTGTCTGAATTTCACGTTTAGCAATAGTGAAAGATCTTTTTGTTTTAGGGTGAAATGACATATCACACACATAGGATCTGGATTTAAGGCGACTTCTTTGTTCACTAAAAATGTTTTTTTTTTTTTACTCTTTGGATCTTATTCAGTCTTATATTTATTATTATTATATAATAATAATAATACCCTTACTTTTTGTTTTCAATTTTTGTAGTGTCTTTATGTTTATCTATACTCGATTTTGATCGCTCTTAAAAAGTAAATATTCGAAAAATATTTGGTTGTTACTTTTCAAAATGAAAAAAATAAAAAATTGAAGCAAGCTTTTATAGGATATCAGTTTATTATATGTAAAGATGAAAAGGCTCCTTAGGCTTTTGTTTTTAACTGTTAAATGTTTTTTCGGTCTGTAAGTTTTAATTGATGAATGTTGAATTTGGTAAGGTTTATATTATTTTATGTTAGTATTATTTTGTATAAGTTGAGATGCATGCTAATTGGTTTTATTTTTTTTAGTGTTAATTTGGTTTTGCTTTTTAACTCCGCCTGTGAAAGCAGCCGGTCCCAAGCCCGGATAAAGGAGGAGGGGAAAGCTTGGCCGCATTTAATTCAAGTTTTTAAAATTCTTACTGTTAGGTCATACAATTGAACAAAAATTATTTCTTCTTCTCGGTTGCAAAATATTGTTAACATTAACAAATGCTTTGTCGTGAAATATTATGAGCATACTATTATGAGCATACAAATGTTCCATCTTTATGTTGTGCAACCGTGTGCATTATGCATGGTGCACACGGTTACGAACGACGACGTTTCACTTTAGTGGAGTAACGGTGCCGTTAGTGGCACTGTTTAACACTACCAATCAGGGTTTTTTTTTTCTTTTTTTTTTTTTTTTTAACTCTACCAATATGAATATATAGTTCATTCGTCCCGAATACATAGTACCAGTAACCAGTCTGAATATATAGTTCACTAATTCTGAATATATAGTTCACTAATTTTGGATATATAGTTCATTAATTATGGATCTGTAGTTCATTAATTCTGAATGTGGATATATAGTTTACTAATTCTAGATATATAGTTCATTAAATATGGATATGTAGTTCATTAATTCTGGATGTTGATGTATATCACTAAATTCTGAATATATAGTTTACTAATTCTGGAGTGGATATATAGTTTACTAATTCTGGATATATAGTTTACTAATTCTGGATATATAGTTCATTAAGTATGAATATATAGTTTACTAATTCTAGATATATAGTTCATTAAATATGGATATGTAGTTCATTAATTCTGGATGTTGATATATATCACTAAATTCTGAATATATAGTTTACTAATTCTGGAGTGGATATATAGTTTACTAATTCTGGATATATAGTTTACTAATTCTGGATATATAGTTCATTAATTCTGGATATATAATTCATTAAGTATGGATATTAGTAGGGAATACCCCGACCGACATGCCTTTGTCATTTTCTTCTTGTCTTTGCAGGTTTCAGGTCGGTTTTTTCATGAAGAACCCGGTCGGTTCCCGACCGGGCATCACTTGACCGGCGTTGTCGACCACCGAGCGGTAGCCCTTTAGCGAGAAAGCTGATAAGAGACACGTGGCGGCTCTATGCGTTGACAGGCAAGGCACCCGGGACGACGACACGTGGTTGCTACGTGGGAGGCATGCCGGACGGCCGGACTCGTGTCTCCAGCTCCGCGGCTATAATACCCGCGATAACGACAGTGTGGAGGACTTTTGGACGATCGATAGGTTGTTGTTAGAGAATCCCGACCGCAGTCAGTCAATACTCAGAGCAACCATTTAGATTGTACTTAGGGCCTTCACCTCGATCAATAAAAGACATTTAATTGCTTTATTTGGTCTTGTGTTTATTTAATTACCGCATTACGTGGCAATTAGTACTATCATTTTGGCGCCGTCCGTGGGGACTCGTGCAAGCAAGCCAACGTTTGACGAGCACCCGGTCTCTTATCAATCATGTACCCGTGGGCGTACAATCTCTCCGGCGACGATCAAGCGGATGCGGCCAGCTCATCCGATCACCAGCCGAGCCAGCAGCAAGGTCAGACAATGGACCTCAATCTCAACCTTTCACCACTACATCCATCTACTACATACCCGACCCCTCAACTGCCGGTGAACTACATTCAACCGGGATACCCAACACCCGGTCAGCAATATCAGCAGCCGCTCCAGTACCCCGGCCAGTATGCATACCCGGCTCCACCTCAACCGTACGGGTACTGGCCCGGTCAACCGATGTATTACACACCACCGGTTGGTTATCCACCTTATACGCCTGCGTACACGGCTCCAGCCGTCGCCCCTCCAATATACCCGACTGCTCATGTAGAGCCGCAGCATCAGCCCACTTCCCGGGCTCGACGCTCGGCTCGTTCGCGGTTGGGGTCGGGGGGTGCTGATGCGATGGAGGTACCACGGCAGGCCCCACAAGCACCGGAGGTTCCAGCCCAAGCGGAAAACCCCGCGCGGTAGCTTTTGATCGTCAACGCTTGGGACCCCAAGACCCGAGCCGGCAACCGGGAGACGTGCAGATGCAGGAAGCCAGCCAGGAGGCCTCATCCGGGCATAGCGGGTCGAGATCTCACCGTCGACGACGCACTCGGGAGTCAGCCCAAGCCCAGACGGCCGAGCTCAACGAGACCCGAGGATTGCTATATAACCTCCAGGCGGAGTTCGCTCGCTTCCGGAAGGAGCAACCCGAGCCTTCTGAGGAAATCGAAGAAGTTCCCCTGTCCGATTATCGACCGGACAGGAAAATTAAGGTTGGCCGGGCCTCACCCCCGAGCTCCGAGCGGAAGTCTTGGCAATACTCTGAGACTTTGCCGATATCTTTGCATGGGGGCCCGAAGACATGCCTGGGATCGACCGAACGGTCATTTGTCACAAGTTAGCCGTCGATCCCACAGCTAAGCCGATCGTACAAAAGACCCGGCACCTTTCATCCGATCGCCGCGAGTTCGTTAGAGAAGAGGTCAAGAAAATGGCGGCGATCGAGCACATCCGACCGGTGATCTATCCCGAGTGGGTGGCTAATATTGTTCTTGTTCCTAAACCCCCAGCTTGGAGGATGTGCATCGATTTCACCGACCTCAATAAGGCCTGCCCGCTCGACCCGTATCCACTACCGAGTATCCACCAGATGGTCGACGAGACGGCCGGGGCCGAGTTGATGAGCTTTATGGATGCATTCAAAGGATATCATCAAATAATGATGCACCATGAAGACGAGAGCAAAACAGCCTTCGTGACCCCGGACGGGCTGTATTGCTACCGAGTGACGCCGTTCGGCCTCCGCAACGCGGGAGCGACTTATCAGAGGATGGTCAATATGCTCTTCGCCGATCTACTAGGCCGAACGATAGAAGCATACATTGACGATATGCTGGTCAAGAGTCGGGACCAATCCTACCACACTCGGGATCTCCGGGAGTGCTTCCAAATC